AGAGAACAGTTCGATTCATCTCACTTGGGATGCTGGGCTCAGGCTGGTCCAACATTAAACAACACTCAAGGCGGCCACTACGTCAGCTCACACCATAAGCAAAGTCTGGCCGAAGCAGCTCACAGACAATACACTGACTCCCACATTTCATCGCAGCAGTTGGCCTATGCAAGCTCACAGCAGATGGGGCACTCAGGGCGGCAATCCGATTAACTCAAACCACGAGCAGAGTCTGGCCGAAGCAGCTCACAGACAGCGTATGCAATGGTTGCATTCCAAAATTTAATTCAAAAAATATTACAGGGCCCTACTTTTAAGTGTCTATTGTACGATATTTTGAGCAAATGTAATAAACAATATGTCTCTGCCTAGTACAATTATAATATTGGACAAGCAATATGTTATGATTTAAGGATCACTCACCAGGCAGTTGGGTAGAAAAGAATGTGGCAGTGTTCAGAACAATGATCTCCGAAGAAAGAATGGATGTTCACTCTCCAAACTGTAAAATGGACCAAAGAACTGAAACTCATTGGTATGTGGCACCAACTTCACTGTTGGAATTACAGTGAGCGGTGTACTAACCTCAAAGGGAGCTCCAACGCCGAATAGTGTCAACAATTGGCATCAGTTTCCGAATCCATCACATCCAAATTGCTAATTTCTGCTTTAAGTTTACTGCTCCAATACTGCAACAAAGGAATCGTGATCAAATTTCCTTATCAAAGGAAAACGTTACGCGACACAAGGGCACTGGAATGATTGAGGCTAATTTTGACGATAGCTTCTACAAGAATGGACACAGGAACAACGATAGAAACTGCAGCAAGACATTAATAACGGGAAATTCTTACCTCATAATTCTTCATTGGACAATCTTGACGAGCTTAAGCTGGCTGAAGCCGGTCAGGGACTCAGGACGCAAGGCTCTTGTCATTCACTGGTACCAAACATCAAGTCCAAGCTCAGTAATTTTCACTCCCGCATCTAAAGAATTGCTTTGAGCACAGTTTGCAAATTATTACAAATGCAGCGTCGACGGGGGGCATAAATGTAAATGGCCTTCGCTCTCGGGCATATTAGCCTACGGCCCTGCAATGACCGTTACGAACTAGTTCAAAACAAGAGAGAGAGGCAGGGGTGGGGTGGGGTGGAGCTGCGCCTTGCGCATGCGCTCGGCGCCGCCCATCCCAACGTGCGAATAACTAATCAACAAGTGAAAGGAGAAGCGTGTAGTCTGCTCAGCACCAATTTGTTTGTTTGTTTTCTGTTTTATTGTTTTTTTTTGTTTTGTCTTTTAAGAAAAGTTTGAGTGATTCAATCAAGTTTGAAGTAGAACGTCGAACGACACCTAATCATCCCCTACTTCGACTAGGAGCAAATGAAAACTAGATCGTTCTTGTTGTGTATGCCAGCGGGCCTGACTGGCCGTAGGAGCCTCTAGCCTGTTCCATACCAGATCGACGGAGAAACATATTTAATGTTTAATGAAAAGGATTGGACTCACATCATTGATGGGAACTGTCAAAGTACGCAGGTAGTGTCGTTGCGGTGCAGGGTACACGACCACGACACGCAATCGCATGCTTCTTAACCCCTTTCATCTTGCTGCATCAGGTAGTTGATGACTCGATCAATCGATTATAATTTTAACTGTAACTCTTCTCAAGGGTTTTGTTTTTTTCCATGTTCCAGTGACATGTCATGTTGTAAAGGCAGTGTAGATCCCTCACTCTGTCAACATGTCCATACTGCCTCTCCTTCTGACGTGATCAAGGAAGAATTGAGTGAAAAATTTACTTTTGTTAAAAAAGAATTTCTTCAAAATAATCAGAACTCTCAAGTATCGATTCCCATCAAGCAACAATCAAGTGATACAACTCATTCATGGGAGACTACCCATCAGCAAGTGTCATGTAAGAGTGTGTCGTCAATGAACTGCTGTGGTCAGTTACCAAATTACTTTGATGAGGTTTGTATTTTTCTCTCATCATCATCTTTTCTTCTGAGTCCCACCCCTACCCCCTTTAAATCTTCATTTGATTATTTGTTTTATCCATTTGTTCTTGCAGGTGGGATCTATCGATGTACAAGAAGATTTAATAAACATAAAAGTTGATGAAGATGCACCCAATGAAGAATTGGAATCAATGTGGGATAGTTTTGTGCAAAAGTGCCTCAATCATTGCACAGGCAGCCTGGCTTTCAACACCAAATCACCGAAGAATCCCTGTCATTGTTCAATGATGTTGCTTGTCGAATGCCCCACTTGTTGGATGTGCTTCAAAGGTACCGCTGACTGTCTCAAACGATTAGTTTTTCATGTCATGAAATGTCACCAGAAAGATGCTCCTGCAGTACTTGAAGTTATCACTAAGGGCTACCACTCTATTGTGCCTTCGATGCAATATCGTCATAGTGGAAACAGGACATCACTCTCAATTCCGTCATAGGGCTTTTGTCACACGTTATTTGTTTATCTTTGTTTTATCATCGAGGTGACATTTGGTCTTGTGGTTTCTGTAAATTCAAAAGCAATAATGAACACTTATTTTTCTTTGTGAATAAACATTCAATGCGCTAAAAAAAATTGAATTCAAATGACCAGGACTTTGCTGCTTGTGAATATTTGTTGTGAGTCCTGTTTCTTTTAAACTTCCATGATTATGTCATTGATTTGTTGATACATCCTTCATTGTGTCACACTGCCAAATTCATTAGTTTTGAAACTTTGAATTGATTTTGCTTGCACCTGAGCAATCCTGTTTCTTAGAAAGCCCCACTGCCCTCAGGCTGCTTTGATGCAACTCAGTGAGAGTAGATACTGGCATAAGTAAAATGTGCATGCTTGTAAGTATAAATTGATTCTGTACATTGTTTCAAGAATCACTTCCCTTTTCTCAACATTAGCTTGCCATCAAAGTTACGGAACTTTTAGATTGCAATCTGTTTGCTGCCCGTTACCAATTATCTAATATTAGTGTCTGATTCACAGGTATCCCAAACTGGAACCGAGGGTTTCATCCAATCTCTTTCACCTCTGGAATTTCAAATCCGATAACAAACAAGTTCCTCTCAAGCCCATCTTTGTTTTGTCATTTTAAATTCGACAGTGCCTGCAAGACAAATTCAAAACCCACACATTCTTAGGAAAAATGTGAGACTAAAAGAAGATCATTATCTTATATTACTCTGGCAAAGCCATAACGGAATATCTTTCTTCTTGGTTTTGACAGATTGATGTTTTGCAATGTACATATGAAATCAATGGTGCATCCTCTGAGCAGTGGTTGTTTTTTCAGAGCTTGGTTCTGTTTAGCTGTACTTAACCAAACGTCTAACAGATACCATCATCACTCCAGTCATAGGTATGCTTGCTTCTCCTGTCCATATTAAAAGTTGCCGAACACTTCACCTATGCTGATCATTTTATTTTTAAATGCATTTTGTGTCTAGTTGTCTTATCTGTTTATTTATTCTTTGCAGACTGGTGGTTATGAGTTAATTTGGTGGCTATGGAAAATGGATTCAGCTGCAGTACATTTGACAAGAGTAGATTGGACCCAGTCCAGCAACAGCCATTGGTCAGCATTCAACCATGTGAAACCTCGGCTGACCCGCCCAAGCCTCCAGTCTTAATTAAATTGACGATGGATCCCAACAGAGAAGGAAGGTATGATATTTAAGAGCTGAAATGGTGAAAGCTGAGAATACATCTCTTCCTTTGAGTTCTTTCTCTTTTGATGGCCATTCATACAAGGAAAGAAAGTTTCATGGACAAACACATAGATGCACCCTTGCTTTCTTTGGTACCTCAATTTACATTTAGTATGATCTCTCTAGTATTAGTATTGTTTGTGAATCACTTGTGAGGCACTTGTGGTTAAGGCTTTCATATTGCATTGCACGACCAATTCTTGCATTCCGTTCTGTGTTGCTAATTTTGGGACTTGAAGCGGAAAACTTGCTCCATTGGGTACAAATACATATCAGAATAGAAATAAACATTCTTTGTGCCTCGGAATTACTGTGGTACAGTCTCAAGACTGCTTCCTTAATTACCAAAAATAGAAAAAAAATTAAACAAAGTACCAGTAATAAGTAGTTATTGTTGAAATTGGCTCTCAGACGCAGGTCATTCAAAGTTTACCTTTCTTCTTCATTTCAGACAACTTCTTTTTTGCCATGTGCTTTTCCTACATTTGAAATGAATGGTTCATCCTTCCAAGCTGTTGTCGTTTCTTCAGAGCCGGTGCAACGGATTCTGTTTGGCTGTACCCAATCAAATGTCCGACTAAGATCATGTGTACTCCTGTCTTTGGTAAGTTGCTGCATTTATCCTAATCATTAAAATAACCAAAAACAAAAAATTAATATTTAATACATTATGTGTTTCATTCTGTTTCTTTATTTCTTCACAGACAGGTTGTTTTGGGCGAATTTGGTGGCACGTGGAAAATGGATCAGTAGATTTGACAAGACTGCATGACTGCCAAGAGTGTGCTCTGCCCTTATTGGCAGTTGTGGTAACCATTTTGCTGACACTGTATGTGGACTGCATCAGTGGCAGAAAGATCTATTTTTGGTATTTGCTTTCATGATGAGTGATTTAAAGTGGAGAATTGGCGCAGAAGCAGCAGAAGTAGCAGAAGTAAATGTCACAGAAGACACCCTTAGAAATTTTCCCAATTTCCTTAATCTTTTAGAGGAATGTGGCCAAATCAAGGCCAAGGGTGCTATCAAGGTACAAGAAGAGTGTTTGATTGGGTCTTTTTAATTCAGAACTATTTAAATCACTGTGTTTTATTCAACTTTAAGGTTTGCCTGCCTGAAAGTTGTGTTCGAAAAACATCTTTGGGTGACCTCTTGAGCGGTCTGATGTTAGATCAAGCAGCTGTACAAATGCAAATTTTTTATAGACCTGATAACCTGGTTTTTGGATACAGAAGCATTGAGCCTCGTATAGAAGACTCATCTGTTTTCTTAAACAAGGCTAATCATCCTGCTGCCTACTCAGAAGATTCTTGCTGGTGAGTTTTGCTCTATTAAAATAACGACTGAACTAATAGTCAATGTTCATCACTGACCTTGTTTTAACTAGCTTTTTCATTTTACCTTTCAGCTCTTCCATGTTTGCCGTACTGGGTACAGAAGCACTCTTTGATCATTACTGGAAAATTCTTGATGCCTATGCTGAAAATGTATTGAATCCGAAGGAAAGCATCATGGCAGAGGTGGAAAAGTTGCTGGCTGGAAGGGGGTCCCTTCTTGCAAAGTGTAATGATATGAAGTCCATGGCTGAAGATATTTCACCTTTTTTCAAAGCAGAACTGAAACACCACAGCAGACCGAATGGACTTGGCCACAGAATATGCAATAACTGTGACATTAGTGGCACTCTGGAAAGTGATGACCCTCAGTACAATGGGAAAAGAAAAGATGCAATATTACACTGTGATGATATTAAATTTAATGGTGCACCTGTTGAGATCTTTTCTGGTTTTTCTCTCTCCAGATTGAACACAATCTTAAATTTTCAATCTGCTAAGTACCCTGGGTTAGCAAGGCCTTCCTTTTATGTTGGATCTACGCATTCATCATTTGTGGCCCGTATTGAACATGCATCTTTATGGAGCATTAATTTCCTCCATTATGGACACTGGAAAGTGTGGTAAGTTTTTGATGTAGGTTTGTGTCTCATTGGAGCACTCTGTTATTAATGGCCTCTAAATGTAGGCACATTGCTATCAAATTTTCAATTGATTTGATCAATTAAATTTGACTGATTCCTTTTTTCTTTTTCTTTTACTCTTAGGTATGTGATACCTCCTGGGTATGTTGGGCTTGTTGACTTTTATCTTTCACAAGTGCGACTGGATCTTAGTCACAGGGCATGCCGTAACATTTTAGGTCACAAACATGCCATGCTGACACAGCATTTTTTAGATAAATACAGTATTCCTCACATAAAGGTAAATCATTTTTTTTCATATTTAAAAAATAAATGTCCATAATTATTTGCTTCTTTGTGCAATTAATGAAAGAAACAACTCATTTCAAACATTTGTCCCACAGTTTATTCAGAAACCTGGAGAATTTGTGATAATTCATCCCAATGCCATTCACTTTGGTTTTAATATGGGGAACAATATTTCAGAAGCTGTTAACTTTGCTACAGTGTCATGGATTCCTTATGGATTGACTTCACCAACATGTGCATGTTTGTAAGTTTTAATATTTTAAATATTTTTTTTTTTTAGTGGATTTTAGTTCATAATATTGTTGCAAGTAACACCTGGACCTTTTACTTATTTATTTCTTTTGTTTTATTTCCTCCTCAGTGGATCTGAAGAAATGCATTTAGATATGACTCCTTTTCTTGTAGCCTTTCAACCTGATCAGTTGAGGACCTATTTGGAGGGTGGAAATCTCTTCACCCCTGAGCAGCATCCATTTTCACATGTCTGTGCTAAATTTTCACATCCAAGTCCTCCCATCAAAGATAGAAAACGTCAGGTATGTCACCATTTTCATTTAAAAAAGGTAAACTTTGGGTTTTGCAAATTGGTTTTACATAGATAGTATCTCAAGATTTACTTGTTGTCTGAGAGGCACAGAAGCAACTGTTTAGTGGGAAAGTTAGCCGGTGGCATTAAGCCTTAAGTCATGCTTTCAAATTCAATTTGATGAGTGACTAGTAAGATTCTGTGGATCCCTGCAAGAAACTTGGACTGTATTTATTGCCGAATTCTTAGATTTACACAAAATCTGATTACCTTTCATTCATCATCGTACTAATTTTGTTTTCTCAATTTCAGATTTCTGGCAAACCTGTGTCGGCATGTATCAGCTGCAAGGACACTGGTCAACAGCTCGAAATTTCAAGAACAAAACTGATTTCACCAAGTAAATCAATCTTACAGTGTCCAGCTTGTAACCAGTCTTACAGAGGTGGCATGGGCCGCCTGAATCGATTATTGACGCACATCAGACGTCACCATTCTACGCAGCTGGAACATCTGGAACAGCTCATCTTGAAAAAGTATAAAAAAAAACAACCACAACAGAAAAAAAATTGTTGTCCAATATGCTACAAGCTTTTATCAGGTTCAGCCTTCCATTTGAATGACCATATTCGTAGAATGCATCATCCACGTTGAGATTCATCTAGGTTAAACTTGATAGTGAGGGGAGATCCTTGGCTTTTGTTCTGGGCTTCCGCTCTTTCGATGCACTCTATTAAGTTAAAGTTGTAATTTATTTGTAACCCCTAAAATGGCACCAAGACAAGAAGTTATTTTTAACTTAGTTAATTATATTTCAAAAGAGCATGTAAATAGTTTTTAACAAGGTCATAACTCATTTTTAAAAAAATATTTTGTTAAGTTATGTATCTAACGTTCAGATGTATGTTAATTAATGGGTCTCTACTAATGTTCAAATTTGGCGTTCCAATTAGGAGCCTTGATGATTGGTGTCTGTAACTGAGGGCAAAAGCTGAATCATCAAGTATGCCCTATACAACTTCTATAGCTTGTAGTAATAGTTAAAAGAAGGTATCTGAAGTAGTATACTTCAAGGGATTGAGGAAGGAAGTCAAACCAAGGAAGGGTGCTTCACTTCAATGGCCTAAAATTGGTTGTGCCCTTCAAAACTTATCAATTCTAGGCTTTGGAAATTTTTAATGTAGTGGCTCAAGAGAGTTAGTCCCTTTCATCATTTGAATGATAGAGCAAAGTTCAGGGATCTTCTTCGCAGCTAATAGAAGCCCAAACAAGGATTTTGGCTTACAATACGAGGAATTAAACTGAGCTCTGTTCAAAATTCTTACCAATAGGTCAGTTTACAAAGGTGTTCGTTCAAGGGATGCATAAAATGTGTCTCATATTTTTAATGAATTGTTTGTGTATGTGAAGTGATCCCCTGTTACATACCAAGTGCTTCAAGCACTTCTGTTCTTTACATCAAACTTTCTGTTGCCTCTTGTACTTCTCTGCTAAATGTTGCTGTGAATAAAATATGAATAAAGGATTGGGTTACGAAGCATATTTAGTTTATGTTCCATGCATCATATCATCAAACTTCGTAAATGTGCTGTCTCTGATCACCCAATAAAGTGGCGGATGACAGGGAAGCCAAGAACAAATTTAAAGTACTCAATGTGTCTGTGTAGTGCGAGCTGTACCTTTGCTGTGTGACTGCTTTCATTGTGTTACGTGCTTTCAAGTCTTTCTTTTGCTAACTTAAACCATGTTTCAAGGAGCAGAAATAAAGTATGCAGCATACTTGAAACTCTTTTTAAATGAATAGGATTTGTTCATCCCTACATCAGGTTTTCATCCTTGGTTCTAGCTACAAAGTAGGTTAGACAAGATGAAAACAAATAAAGAACAGATAGAATACAGAATATAGAAATACAGAAATGATGTGACAACTGTTTAATTGCAATGTGACATTTAAATAATTTACAAGCACTTAGTTAAGATGAAGCAGAAGTAAAATCAACTTATGATTAAGTTTTACAATGTAATAGTGCACTAGAAAGAGACCGGGTCCTCAGTTGTAGCCTCTTCATCGTAGTTACAGCATTCAGTCTGTACAGACAGTTTATGTTCAGTTTAGTAGGGTATGTACAGTAAGTGACGTAGAATGTTTGTAACATGAAGAGAAATTAACTTAATTTCACTTACCAGCTTCCACGCTGAAGTCGGATGCATACATGGGAATGATTTTGCACGGTTGAATCCATAGTTCCACAGGATAGGGGTTTGTGGTTCAAGTGGACGCACTGTCAAAAGGTGATATTTTCCTGATTCATCACAGTTAATGTGTGCAGTACATCTGACTGTACAATCCTTTGTAGGCGCCCAATTAGACAAAGAGATGGGACCACCAAGATAACTGTTGCTTGATGTGGGAGATCTTAGGTACCTGTGGCTGGTGGGACACATTTCGTTTGTGGGGGCACAGGCAAGCCATCCCATCTCTTTCATTACAGATGACATTGAAATACTTCTGTGAATGAAAATAGAAATAATATTCGGAGTGAATTTATTTACCTTTTAAGATAATATAAGTGAAAAGAGAAGAAAATTACTCACAATTTTCCTTCATGGTGCTTGTTGACCCTGAGACCCCAACATCTAAGATGTTCATCCAGGTACGCTTCGAAGCACAATGAAGCTCTCATCCACATTCTTTTCACTAGCTGTATAAATGTTTGGAATTCGTCATTGTCCATCGGTTCACCCCAATTTTTGTTAGGCTCAGCAGAGCAAGTTCTTGAGGGGAGACCAAGGTGTTTGTGAGCTAGCTCAGAGTCTAATTTCCAAAGAATATCTAATTGAACAGAACTAAGTTTCACTCCCCTTGTCCCCTTCGATAACACCTGAAAAAAAGAATCAAATTCTCTGTATATGAATGATGAGGTGTCAAGGATATGGATATTTACTATGACAGAAAAGGAATAAAATAATGATTTATCAGTACTGTAAATGGTGTATTAAGCAAAGTGTAATTATAATAGCAAATTTTTGTCACAGAATGTTAATTAAAATTAGCAACAAATTTTATGTTACAGTGTTGGTCTCATCAGGAACTATTTCTAGGTCTTTTTCATCACGGCACAAAGGGCAGTTGCCTCGATAATCTAGCCACATATCAAAACAATCCCAGCAAAACCAGTTTGAGCATTCATCACACTTAAATGGTCTGCTAACATGTTTCAAGCAAACAGGACACTGGCTTGGAGAGTCGTAAAAAGATTGCAATTAATTACAATTTTATTCCTTTAAGATAGTCAAGTTTGTACTCAGAACTGATAGAAACACAAAACACATGAGAATAAAATTAAAAATAACCTCTGCAGTAGTGTCAGATTCCTTAGCAGTTCCAGCTTCATTAACAGTTCCAGACTTTATTTCCTCCTCTATTACTTCCACAAGAGAACAAACTTCATCAGAGGACTCTGATCCGTCTGTAGAAGATCCTGTAACAGATAACATAATATTTAGAATACTTGTGCCATAATTTAAGTGGTCTTAGGACAAATATGGATTGTCCTCAGGTTTGCTTTTGACCAAAAATTTGTCTACATTAAAATCTTCCTTTTAAAGGAGCACCATTTTGTTGTTGCAACCCTAAAACAGATTTCTAACTTTTCCCTTTCAGAAAGATAATAGATATCCTGTTGAGCTCTGTTTGTACTATAACAGCACTGTGTTTGTACTTATTTTAGAATTGAAGAGCTCAAAAATATCTGAGACCTTAATAATCTACTCAAAATTCATATCATAAGCCTCTCTTTTCACAAACTACAGCACCCTTATGGCTTTTAGGACCCTCCTTGGTGTGATTTTCAATACAATTTTTATCAGTTTGTTTAATGGCAATTGGTTTTTACTGTGTATCATCCACCACTTTGTTTGGCTTGAAGAAAAAACAAAACAAAAAGAAACATCTTGTTATAAATGTATTGTTTATTCTGTTATCATTAGAGATGAGTACGTGACAAAAAAAAAATGGAAGGCCAGCAATCACAAAAACTCCTCCGAGTCTGAAGAGTTTTCATCGGAAAAATCATCTGCACCAAAGAAAGAGATGTTAAACAATTATACTACTGGGATGGAAGAAATTTATACCACAATGAATTTGGGTATGCATGAGTGAACGACCTATTGACATTGAAATCGGACACATTTTCCAGCTTTGATCAAATAAGGAAGGTAGACGAAATTAAAAATGTTTTGTCAAGCATCAAATATGGAATAATTTGGCAGAGTATTGTACACTAGCCAGATGATCAGCAGCACAGGAAAACACATAAGAAGTATTGTCTTGACATGAATCTACTTTTGTTTTAATGTTCAACGACAAACCTTGTCACAAGATTAAATGTTCTTGTAATGGATAAGCGAGGCTCAGCAGGCCTTTCATATGGACTATGGATAATAAAAATAGAATCATGCCATTGCAACACTTATACTATGTGTTCTCAAACGACCTACAACAACTCACCTTCAGCAATTATTCGCTTGTATTTGGGAGGGTTCTTTTGCTTTGGAGCATTCTTCTCAACTGCTGCAGATGCCTTCCTTGCAGGGGCCTTCCTTACAGAGGTATTCCTTGGGTGAGCTTTCTTTGGAGAAGCTGGGGTTTCTACAGACTCACACTGTATTTTTTTGGCATTAAAGTACTTGGTGGCCTTCTCCGTCAGACCATCAAGATTTGATTTCTGCCTACCTTGAGTCTTGCCTGCAAATTAATCATCAAACTGTTTAACTAAAATTCAATGGGCGCTGTAAAATAATCTCAACATTTTAACATTAACTATTCTTACCCTTCTGCTTCTTTGGTTTCACTTCAGCAGGCTTCTGAATATCCTGTAACTTCCCTGCATCTACATCATTAGGCTGTGACACAAACAGAACGGTCAACTGTTGGAAATAAACTGCACAAGCTTTTGGTAAAAAATTGCGACCACCCTAAAATGATGACAAACCTTGTTGACTTTTGGAAGGTAAATAGCTCCAAAGTTGGAGCTACTACCTTGGATAACAGTCACCCTCTCATCCACATCTTCATAATCATCATCATTCAAACTCTTATGATCATCATTATTATTTTCATCTTCTTCACATTCATCTTTCTTTTCTACGTGTTTATCATTATTATCTACGGGTTCATCATGTTCATTATTATCATTGTGTTCAATGATATCACCATCACCATTGTCATCCATATATTTATAACCTCCACCCTGCAAAGATGCAAAACAAAAAAGAAATCAGCAACCTCTTCAACTGTACCTGAATGAATAAATAACATCCAATAACTTACCTCAGCAAAATGATCAACACCTGCACCTGGGTGGCCCTCAGGCTTACGAAGCCAATAATCAACTCCTTCATCTTTCATTTCTCTATCACTCAGCACCTCATCTCCATTTGACAGACTTCCCAATTGAGATAAGTCCCGTTCCTGCAATAAAAGAATATTATGGAACAGACCTCAATATAGGAAGAGATATGTAGGGACGTAAAAAACAAAAAAAGGGTATCCCAAAACAATAATTCACCTTTAAAGCAGTGCGCATTCTGTCAGGCTGAGAGATAATGAAAACCACGAGATAAGAATTTGAGTTTCAGAACCAAATACATCAAAATGAGATATTAAATGACAAGAAACTTACTGGACCACAAGATGCAGAGGCGGAAGGTGTCTGCCTGTTTCTTCCCTGCCACCCTTGAGACTGCTCTCCTTGGGTAATTCCTGTTGCTTGAGCAGTGTGTTCCCTCCAGTCAAGTTCACTTTGCATTTTGTCAGGCTGCAGAGATTTTAAAAAATAAACGAGATAAGAATGTAGGGTTAAAAACTAATTACATCAAAATGATATGAATGAAATGAGACATACTGGGGCCCATGTTTCAGAGGCAGAAGGAGTCTGCCTGTCCCTGTCTCTTTCCTCCCAAACATCACGACGAGACTGCTGCCATTCATTCTGAACCGCTCTTGGTTGAAAGGCAACGTTCTTCTGGTATAGATCAGTGCGCATTCTGTCAGGCTGAGAGATAATGAAAACCACGAGATAAGAACTACAGTTTCAGAACCGAATACATCAAAATGAGATATTGAATGACAAGAAACTTACTGGACCACAAGATGCAGAGGCGGAAGGTGTCTGCCTGTTTCTTCCCTGCCACCCTTGAGACTGCTCTCCTTGGGTAATTCCTGTTACTTGAGCAGTGTGTTCCCTCCAGTTAAGTTCACTTTGCATTCTGTCAGGCTGAAGTGATTTTTAAAAAAATAAATGAGATAAGAATGTAAAGTTAAAAACTAATTACATCAAAATGATATGAATGAAATGAGACATACTGGGGCCCATGTTTCAGAGGTAGAAGGAGTCTGCCTGTCCCTGTCTCTTTCCTCCCAAACATCACGATGAGACTGCTGCCATTCATTCTGAACCGCTCTTGGTTGAAAGGCAACGTTCTTCTGGTATAGATCAGTGCGCATTCTGTCAGGCTGAGAGATAATGAAAACCACGAGATAAGAATTTGAGTTTCAGAACCAAATACATCAAAATGAGATATTCAATGACAAGAAACTTACTGGAGCACAAGATGCAGAAGCGGAAGGTGTCTGCCTGTTTCTTCCCTGCCACCCTTGAGACTGCTCTCCTTGGGTAATTCCTGTTGCTTGAGCAGTGTGTTCCCTCCAGTCAAGATCACTTTGCATTTTGTCAGGCTGCAGAGATTTTAAAAAATTAATGAGATAAGAATGTAAAGTTAAAAACTAATTACATCAAAATGATATGAATGAAATGAGACATACTGGGGCCCATGTTTCAGAGGTAGAAGGAGTCTGCCTGTCCCTGTCTCTTTCCTCCCAAACATCACGACGAGACTGCTGCCATTCATTCTGAACCGCTCTTGGTTGAAAGGCAACGTTCTTCTGGTATAGATCAGTGCGCATTCTGTCAGGCTGAGAGATAATGAAAACCACGAGATAAGAATTAGAGTTTCAGAACCAAATACATCAAAATGAGATTTTAAATGACAAGAAACTTACTGGAGCACAAGATGCAGAGGCGGAAGGTGTCTGCCTGTTTCTTCCCTGCCAAACTTGAGACTGCTCTCCTTGGGTAATTCCTGTTGCTTGAGCAGTGTGTTCCCTCCAGTTAAGTTCACTTTGCATTCTGTCAGGCTGAAGTGATTTTTTAAAAAATAAATGAGATAAGAATGTAAAGTTAAAAACTAATTACATCAAAATGATATGAATGACATGACACATACTGGGGTCCATGTTTCAGAGGTAGAAGGAGTCTGCCTGTCCCTGTCTCTTTCCTCCCAAACATCACGACGAGACTGCTGCCATTCATTCTGAACCGCTCTTGGTTGAAAGGCAACGTTCTTCTGGTATAGATCAGTGCGCATTCTGTCAGGCTGAGTGATAAAAAAAACCACGAGATAAGAATTTGAGTTTCAGAACCAAATACATCAAAATGAGATATTGAATGACAAGAATCTTACTGGGGCAAAACTTGCAGAGGAAGAAGGATATGTCTGCTTGTGTCCACTTAAATCCAATGGTGTTTCTCCTGAACAATGCTGCGACATAGCTGGTCGGTTTCTAGTTGAATCTACTGCCAGACTACTTGATTGCTATTAACAGTGAAATTACACACAGTTAACCACACAATTTTAACAATACTCATAAAGGATTGATTGGTACTGCACCAAAACTAAACATGCAAATGCTCCATACCTGAAAGACAGCTTTGTCATGGCTAGGGTGCGTTGAAGCAGTCCAGTTTGATTCACGCTGAAATAGAACGCCAACAGTTACATTAGCAGCATGGACAAAATTTAAAAAGCCACCCCTTGTTAAAAGAAGTGTGGCAACAATTACCCAAAGCAAAAGAAAATTGAACTTAATGAAAATGGGTACAAAGTAATTAAAAATTTACCTGAAGCATGTAAGGGTATTTATCTGGGCCATAATGCCCTTTTTTCGGGCATCGCGGCATTTAAGGGGAGGTTCTGGTGAAAATCTTGCCATTTTCCAAATGGATCCTACAGTCATAATTTGTTTGGAATATAAAATTTTTCATTGAGGAGACTAAAATTTGACTCTTGAAGGCACATGCCAGGCTGTAAACCCAGTCGAAGAGTCTTTTTGAGCCTATTTTGGCTGTATCTTAAAAAATCTCCTTGCGCATACTATTTTGTCGTAAAAGGTTGACCTTGACATTTTTCACTTCTTCGACTCATTTTCAAAAGATACCGGCATGCAGAGCTCAAAACTTCCATTATATTATTAGCTATTAGCTTTTAAAGCTGAAAAGTCCCTAAAATTTGACTATTTTGTACATTTTTGATCAATTATAGTGAAATGCTTGGTAAGAAAGCTTGCGAATAAAAATGCAATTGACATTTTGAGATGTGCATGCCGGCATTTTTAAAAAATGAATCGAAGAAGTGAAAAATGTCTAAGCCAACCTTTTACGACAAAATAGTATGCGCAAGAAGATTTTTAAAGTTATAGTCTAAATGGGAGAAAAAGGCTCTGCGACTGGGTTCAGGGCATGGAATGTGCCTCCCCAATGAAAATTTTTAATAAATACTTGATAAGACATCAGATTTTTAACAAATTTTCACAGTGGGACCTATATAGGAGAAAATAGCATTTTCACCAGAACCTCCCCTTAATTCTGAAATAAGTAAACAAGGCCAATTAATATGTAAAGGAAACTGCACATTATTGTGACAAAATGACGAGCTTATCCTTCTTCCTCATTAATACACATGCTTATGTCATTTTCTAAACTTGATTACTTTCAAAAGATCAGAATGTCAACACAATTCACATTTTTGCTGTTACAAGTTAAGGATTCATTCTCGCTCATCATGACTACGACTGAAATGCAATGAAAATCATTTGTTTGACAATTCACTTCATACTATTCAAACTGTGAGTAATGCATTCCATCAAATGAAGTGACATTTAAGCCACAAATGACCAAGAACAATAGCAGGATAGATCCAATCAATCCGAATACGTCACTCATAAGCCAGAGCACTGCTTGACCAGTGTATTCAAAACTATGACAACAAACGCCAAGATGTCAGGAAACAGGGGAACAGAACAAACAGGTTATGTTTCTCTTCTCCATGTTCACAAAAACGTCCCGATAACTTGAAAAGGAGGAGCAAGAGATACAGCAGGTCCCGCTCATAACGTTACCCGCATATAACGTTGCAAAACTGAACTCCCGAGTCAACAATCGCGTTCATTCTTCTACCGTTTATAACGTTTCCCGTTTAAAATGTTTGACCGTGCAAGCCAGCCGCAACGGGGCTACTGAGGACTGCGGTGCATGCTGGGCGCCCCAACCACTGCCAATGAGAATAGCCTGACCGCTTTGGCGGGAAAAGAGAGTACACAGTAAAACGTTATGACAAAAGGCTAGCGTAGGGAAATTATTACCAGAAAAATAAAAAGGAACTGAGTGCCAGGTGCCAATTCATGCTTTCCTATTGACGAAGGATGATAGGTTTAGTTAGAGGACATTAAAATAAGGGAAAAGTAAGGTTACACGTCCGAGTCCCGTCATCCCGCTTCCTTTGGTACAGGCCTGCGCCGGGCGGGTATTCAGTACCCGTGAAGCCCATAACTTAGAAGTAAATGGACCGAAACGCGCAGAAGTTTGAGCGGCGCTGATCCAGTCATTAAACTATGTTCGTGCGAAATCTGGAATGTTTTTGACAGCAAGCAACGAAGTTAGGCTTCACGGGTATTTAATACCCGACCCACGCAGGCCTCTAATTTGGGCCGAATCCTTTTCGAGTGTCCTCCTTGTAAATTGAACAAAACCGAGCATTGACAATAGGGAGGCGGAGCCAGTTCGAGCGCGTTCGCTGACCCGCCGGCGAGAGCCTACTCTTCTCGGGTCTCTTGACTCCTACTTCAGATGCAGTTAGGGGCTAAATTAAAACCGTGCTACCGACGTCTGACAACCCGAATACACTGCTGAAGTTTATATTACTTACGCGAAGATAGCTTCAGAATGGCTACAGACACGTATCGTTAGTCAGCAAGAGAACGACAGCACCTCCGGAGAAGACGGAAAGCCGGCAACGAGGTGCGTCACGGAAACCGGCAGTGTTGTCAGATGCGTCGTTGGGTAGCAGGCACACCAACCTCTCGTTTAAAAAACCGACTATTGTAGTCGTGGCTGAGTGAAGAACAAGAAGAATCACAAAAGACTCAATCAAGCGCATGTAAAGTGCAAATATTCGCTCAAAATATGTTGCATTTACTTATTAATATTTTTATTAACTTTTACCAAGCAAGGGGACTTAAATATTTGAATTAAAAGTGCCTAAAAGTACGCTTTTTTGGTTCTTCTTCTTCTTCACTCGGCCGCGACTAGTGAACTCTCGAAACCACTGTCGATGCTATCGACTGGAACCAGAGACGGCCGCTGGACAGCGAACAAACAAAAACAAAACTTTAGCCACTGTGTACAATTACCCATTGCATTGAATTGAATCTTTTCTCCTCCCTCTGCTGTGCGGTTAGTTTTCATTGAATTCCTGTTTGAACGAAATTGTCTAGTAAACATGATGGGGCCACATAATTCATTTCGGAGGTAACGTATCATTATGTTTTCAACAGCATTGCTACTACCCTCGCACGTGATAAGTTTTCAAAGACAGCGCTTCTATTTTACAGTTTGCTGCTGCTAATCCTGCTGTCCCTGCTCGCTGACGGTTTAAGGGCCGTTAGACTGATATGTGAAAATGGTTTCAAAGTTGGCTCGCACTACTACCATCTAGGTGACGGCCGGTACGCGTATCATGCCTCAGACGACACAAGGAACGCAGTTTACTTTAAATGCGTGCTCTACGAGAGAGGCTGCCGAGGCAGGGCAATCTATAAGTACGGTGGATCCTTCCGTGAAACACAACATCACAATCACGCACCGGATCCAGACTTTGTCGGCATGAGGCACTTTAGGGAAAACCTATTAGATGAAATTCACGATGCGCGATATGTCAACTATGAGCAATTGCTGGACCAATTTCGCAGTGACCAAAGGTTTGTTTTATCCAGCACATCTGAATTACCTGAATTCCCCACCGCAATGTCTAATGTCTGGTTTCTTATAGGTACAGCAGGAAGGTTCGCTGTAAGATGACGTTGAAACGCTTACGTGGCAGCATGTATAAGACCCGAATGAATAAGTATCCACAAATTCCTCACACAATGAGGGAACTGACCCAAATATTGTTGTCAAATGACAAAATCTCCAAAACTATAGATGATTCTGAGAATCTGTATGCTGGGTCAACTACAGCTACAGATGGCTCCCATCACATCGCCTTTTTTTCACCCAGAATGCTGCGGTTTATGGAAAACCTCAAGATTATTCAAGGAGATGGAACATTCAAATCTAGACCGGCTCTACCATCATCTAGGCAGGTCTTCGTATTGGTCACAACATGGAACAATTGTGTAAGTTTTTCAAGGTGAATCGTTTTGTATAAGATCTTAACCAGGTGCTAAGTGAGGTGTGGTGAGAGTTATGTTGTCATTTTGTCTTCCTGCTGCAATGTTTGCCCACAACTGTTGTATTTCATTTAATGTATTAGTAAATTTCCTATGGTATGAGACTTTCCCAGGTTCATGATAAGCACTCAATGTAATTCCTCCTACACATTTAACGATTTGTGAATGGAATCAGTGTTAAAAGTTTTAAACTTTGCTACTCTGTTTTCTAACCCGGTTTTGTTTTGTAAGTGTTCTGTTTTAATGTTGCAGGTTATTCCACTTGGATGGTTCCTCATGGAGTCTCGCACAAAGTCAGCATACATGGCAGTTTTCAATTTGCTCAAACATTTGTGTCCTAATTTGAACCCCGATGTTATCTTGTCTGACTGGGAGAAAGCACAACAAGAAGCGTGGCAAGAATCCTTCCCTCGTAAGTTTGATGCAAGAGGGGTTGACCTTTTTTCAGTGTTTCTTTAAGGGGTCTGATTTGGGAAACATGGTCTCTAATGTTGCCCACCAAATATCTGTATTGCTCTCATTCTCGTAGTTAAAATTCACTATTGGGATCATAGAGCTGACCCCTGGGTCAGCTCTATGGCTCTTTTGTGAGTAAAACAATTTTGTGATGTGCAGACTTTTCCCAATAATACTCCTTTTGAGTATGGAGAAAGTCCCTAAAAATAGACGGAAAAACAAAGAAAGTTTTTGAAACTTGACAACCTTTGATCAAGTGGTCAATTTTCAGTTCAGGTTTTGATAGTGGAGTGATCTTTTTTGTTTGTTTCTTACTTTCAGAAGCTGAAATCCAAGGTTGTCTTTGGCACCTTGGGCGTTCTTTCGTCAAGAAGGCAAAGAAACTAGGAATTTTCAGATATCGCAAAGATTTGCCCAACATCGTGCATTATATTCGGAAAGCTGTAGCCATTTCCCTCTTACCAAGGCGATATTTCCTGGTTGGACTGCGATGTCTTCGTAATGCTGCTCTTCAAGAGGACATTCGGATGGCTTACTTGCTTGATCCATTTTTTGATTATGTGGAACAGAAATGGATCAGAACCCCTTCTCGAAGAAGATGGATGTGCCTTTACAAATCAGAAATCCGCACGAACAATTCATGTGAGACCCACAACCGTATGCTACGTAATAAAACTGGAGCGTACCGCCCAAATGTTTTTCTATTCATACAAGCATTGGCAACACTTGAAAATAATGCCATACTTGACTCAGAGCTTCATATTAGTGGTGAAAATCCTCGACGCACTAGGCGCTGGAAGTCTATTATTACTGATCGCATACTTAGTAATCTCACTTACCATCTTGAGAGGGAGATTTTCCATGACATGAACGAAACTGTCATGCAGTTCCTAACCAAAGCATCAGATCTTTTCAAAAGTGCCTTTGATGAACATGTTGCACGAGAAGTTGGACGAGGACCTCCTAATGATGATTAAGGTTTATTTTATGCAATTGACAATGCTTAATATGTTATTCAGAACCTTTCGTGTGATTTTTAACATTGAATAATGCCAATCTTGGAAAGTGATATCTTTGCTTTATTTTCTGTTTTCTGTATAGACTGGGTGTTGTGTGTGGAACTAAGGCCATTGCATGAAGTCACAATTGACCTCATCTGATATATGTAGTTTTTCATATGTTTGTTCTAAATGATTCACTAGATAGTGTTGCTCAAAGTTTTAACTTTTATTTGTATGTCATGAGACTTTGATTTAAATTGTAATATGAACGAACCAACTATTCATGTAATTTTTTATGTCATATTCTTACTTTGAATATTGCCATACTTGACTCAAAGCTTAATGTTAGTGGTGAAAATCCTCGACGCTGTAGGCGCTGGGAGTCTGTTATTACTGATCACGTACTTATCTCTCTTACCATCTTAAGAGGGAGATTATTCATGACATGGATGAAACTGTCATGAAGTTCCTAACCAGCATCAGATCTTTTCCAAAGTGCCTTTGATGAACATGTGGCACTAGAAGTTGGACGAGGACCTCCTAATAATGATTAAGGTTTATTTTATGCAATTGACAATGCTTAATATGTTATCCAGAACCTTTCGTGTGATTTTTAACATTGAATAATGCCAATCTTGGAAAGTGATATCTTTGCTTTATTTTCTGTTTTCTGTATAGACTGGGTGTTGTGTGTGGAACTAAGGCCATTGCATGAAGTCACAATTGACCTCATATGATATATGTAGTTTTTCATATGTTTGTTCTAAATGATTCACTAGATAGTGTTGCTCAAAGTTTTAACTTTTATTTGTATGTCATGAGACTTTGATTTAAATTGTAATATGAACGAACCAACTATTCATGTAATTTTTTATGTCATATTCTTACTTTGAATATTGCCATACTTGACTCAAAGCTTAATGTTAGTGGTGAAAATCCTCGACGCTGTAGGCGCTGGGAGTCTGTTATTACTGATCACGTACTTATCTCTCTTACCATCTTAAGAGGGAGATTATTCATGATATGGATGAAACTGTCATGAAGTTCCTAACCAGCATCAGATCTTTTCCAAAGTGCCTTTGATGAACATGTGGCACTAGAAGTTGGACGAGGACCTCCTAATAATGATTAAGGTTTATTTTATGCAATTGACAATGCTTAATATGTTATCCAGAACCTTTCGTGTGATTTTTAACATTGAATAATGCCAATCTTGGAAAGTGATATCTTTGCTTTATTTTCTGTTTTCTGTATAGACTGGGTGTTGTGTGTGGAACTAAGGCCATTGCATGAAGTCACAATTGACGTCATCTGATATATGAAGTTTTTCATATGTTTGTTCTAAATGATTCACTAGATAGTGTTGCTCAAAGTTTTAACTTTTATTTGCATGTCATGAGACTTTGATTTAAATTGTAATTTGAGCCAAATGTAACTTATGAGTATCATATTCTACTTATAATTCATTGTATATTTTCTTCATTTCTGTTCTTTATATGTTTCTATCCTGTGACACTTATTCTTGCCTGTTCCAGAGACATAGATAAATTCTAGCGGTTGAAACTAAGTTTTTATTTTTACTTGTTCCTTTTACAATTGTCAATAAGGTAGTTGAATATAACTAATCATGCCTACACAATTCACAATTGAACCTTAAGATGTTACACAATGAGCACAGTGGGCGCTTGCCAATTTTTTTTTACTTAAAAAAAAAAGAATGTCAACCTTTTAGACATTCCTTCAAAAGTGGAAGTATCTGACTGTTTTGTTTATCACATTTATTGGGGCATTATAACATACACAACAGAATTAAAATAATAATAAAATATGAATCGAAAACAAAGTTGCCCAACAAAACATTTTGAAAGTAGTGAAAGAGATTATAAATTTCATGGTGACTAAAAGGTTTGATGGCCCTCGAGGCTGGCTGGCAGGCGAGCAGGCGGTGGAACACTGTGTCCTCGACCTGGTTGGCGGCCTTGAGCCGGGCGTTGGTGGGTAGGACGTCGTGGACCGCGCGGAACTAGGTCACCCTGGCTCCAGGGTCTAGGAGGAGATCCTGCTGGCCCACACGGTGCTCCAGTCGGCTGTCGGCGTCCTCCGCTGCACCCGGGGCACGGCGGGGGCGGTTGAGCACCATGACCTGCAACAGCGCGCCGTTGAGGGCCTGACCTTGGACGTCATGGCACTCGTCGACCTGTCTGCACGTCGTCCGGAAGGCCGAGAAGAACCTCGCTGCGGGTGGGACGTCGTCGGCGTCCGCGTAGAGCTCTTGCAGCACGGCGAGCCAGCTTCTGGACAGTGTAGGCTTGGGGGTACTGAACGCCGTCAGCCATACCTCGCGGCAAAATTATGGTGTTCGAGGTGGTGGTAGAACTCTGCAGTCAGGCCGTCCTCGCCGGATCTGCGACCGCGCGGGGACAGATTCGGGGACTCGAGGAATGTCCGCGGGCCGCGGGCATGGCGGACGGGAGGAATGTCCGCGGGTCGGACGACAGTTCAGCCTGGCCAGAGCTTTGCTGGCGATGTTCGTACCCATACCTCCCTTGACTGAGCTAGGACGAGGCTGCATCCGAGCGAGGTAGGCTACACGTACCGAGGGCCTTAGCTGTCTGTCGCGCCTTGACAGAGTCTACGTCACCAAGGACCTGACGGCACTGCACGCCGCCGCCTTCGGCGACCACCGCGCCATCGCCATCGCCCTGGACAGCGGAGGCGCGCCAGCGGCCGAACCGCGGCCCACGACTCTGGCAGTTCGACCCTGCAATAGGGTTCTAAAAGCCGGAAAAAAAACATGAAAAAAACGGAAAAAACTGTTTTTTCGGCTTTGATTTTAGCAATTTCCGGAAAAATATGGGGCTTTTCCTAATTTGGTACTTTTTGGTGTTTTTTTTGCTTTTGCGCTTATTTGACATGCTGGCAAGCTTAGTTAGGTCAATATCAACACCCAGGTATGACAATGAAAAATGAAAACGTGGGAGCTCCGTTTTTTTGCCACCTAACGCGCCACTACGCTCCCCCTAGCTTCGCGCCACCCGTTTAAGCAACATTTCAGGCCCAAAATGTCCGTTTTTCGGAAAAAACCCGTTTTTTTTTCATGGTTTTTTTTCCAAATTTTATTTTTCACGCTTTTTTAGAACCCTACCCTGCAACGCTCAGCGACGAGGCCCTCCTTCCCGCACTCCGCGAGCGGTGGCAGCAGTGGCGGCGCCAGCGCGGGGACGCCGACGTCGTGGACTGGTGGGAGGCCACCAAGAAGAAGCTGCGGGCCTTTTGCAAGGACTTCTCCAGGCGTTCCTGGCGCGAGGACAACGTCATGTGCCAGTTCCTTACCAGCTGCGTCATCGCCGCCCGACTCTCCGACCAGCCTGGGGCCCACGACGAGCTGCGCCAGGAGCTGGACGCCGCGCGGGAGCGCCTGCTGCAGCTGCTGTCCAGGAGGCTAGCCTGCACCCGTGCGCGCGCCAAGTGCCCCGACGAAGTGGACGCCCGAGGACGTGGTGCACCGGCTGGCGCGGTGCGGGGCCGATCAGCGTGGGCGGCGCGGCACGTCGCCAGCACCAGGGGCGTGGCCGTCACGGAGGAGACCATCGTCAGGCCGCAGCTCGAAGGGCCACGCGGGGCCGTCGCCACCCTGCTCCGGGGGTGGCACTCCTTTCAGCGGCGCGCTTTGACGGGTCGCATCCGCGTCGCGCTTCGGACTTCCGAACGATGGAACGTGTTTCCCGGATTTGTCGTCTAGCAGCAAGCGTCTCGTGCGGTCTCGTGGCGCCCGAACTGGAGGGTGCGCGTGGCGGCTTGGCTGCACCCCTCACTGCAACCGTTGTCTCCAAAACGATGACGGTCATGGGGCGGCGGCGGTCGGGGCTGGCGTCCAGACGATTCATCGTTGGGCGGACACACAGGCGCGCCTTCGGACACATAGCTGGTTCACTTCTCCGTTGCTCGGGCACACAGCCGCGATCCAGAACGACGGCCACCTCTTGCCACCACCGTGAGCCACGCTCACGCACTCCGTGTGGTGCCCCAGAACGCGGCGCGCGCGACTGCGGCGCCGCGCTGCACGCTCAAGCCCCTGGACAGCGAGCGGGTGCCTCTCGTCTCCGCGCCATCAGCGACAACGTCCTGGTCCTTGCTCTCCTTGGCCTGGGCCCGGTCATCCTCAGCAGCGACGTTCCGGGCAGTTCTGCACTTGGTGTCCAGGTCTGCGGCAGGAGTAGCACTTTCTCTCAAACCTGAGTGAACTGGGGGGGGGGGGGGGGGGGGGGGGCAGTGGCGGTCACCTGCTCCGTGACGTTGTCAGGATCCTCGGGATTGGTCGACTGCGTGCACAGCAGGCACGCGACGGGCTTGGACGTCGTCAGCAACACGTCCAGCAGGCTCGACAGCAGGGCTCGCTGTCGGTGCAGCAGTGGCGGCGGACTCTGGAACAGTCTTACCGGGCTCGGCCTGCAACACGGCCTCGGTGCGCATGGCGGTGGACATCGCGTCGTGGAGGTTAGCGGGCTGCTGCAGGCGGACTTGGCGACGGACCACGTCGTCCCGGGTGCCGTTCACGAACAGCCTCCGCGCCGAGTCTTGCAGCGCGTTCTCCGGCCAGGTGGGGAAGGCCGTCCGGGCCAGCGTGAGCACGGCGGCGGTGAACTCGTGCAGCGGCTCACCATAGCGCTGGGTGCGCTCCCAAAGCTGACACTCGGCCGTGAGCACGCCCTGGGCCGCGTCGTAGTGCTGCTGCAGGCGCTGGCGCAGGCTGGGGAAGTGCACGTACTGCGACGGGGGCAGCGTCAGCACCACGTCGGCGGCAGGTCCTTCCAGGGCAACGAGCAGCTGGCGGCCCGCCTCCTCCTCGCTTCAGCCGTTCATCGCGGCCACGGCGTCGAACTGGGCCGCGAACACATTCCAAGAACGGGATCCGTCAAAGTGTGGGGGAGTCACATACCGGTCGGGGACACAGGTCGCCGTCGAGCACATCGCGGCCATGCACTCCAGGACGGTGTTGGCGCGCTGCTCCTGCGCGGTGGACGCCTCGGCGAAGTGCTGCAGGCTGGCCTCCAAGGACGTCGTCGTCCTGTCTCGCCGCGGTGATCCGGGACCTTCCTGCTGCTCGGCCGTTGCAGACCTCAATCCCAAGCTGATCAAATCCCACTTCTGACACCAATGTTAGGATTTGGGGTTCAGGGGATTGCAGCGGGAATGAGGAGGTACTCCAGGATGTGCAGGCCAAGTGTATTCGGGAACAGGAGTAGTGCAGGACAGAGTCTAGACCGCGAATAACAGTGGGCGTCGTCCTAGCAACAGACAGTGCCCCGGCGCTGCCCACAGCGCGGCACCCTAACAAGGGCAAGGCTGAGGCAGGTGCCTTCGCATTCTACGCGTGCCCTATGAACAATCAAGGGCAACGAGATAACAGGGCAACGCTGAGGCACATGTCTTCTCCGCGGTACTCCATGACCAATCAAGGAGCCCCTCTGGGTGTTCCTTATGATGTAAGCAGAGCTAGAAGATCGCAACTTCACGACCTGCTGGGATTCGTGTCTGTAAGACAACGTCGGCTGCCCCATGTCCCCTAGCATAACTATCAACTATACTTCCAAGATCAAAGGCGTGCTAACCGAGCTCTTAGTTGCAGCTTGTTAAGATCTGGTTAGTGCTTTGCATCACGCACGCTAGCCAGATCACGCAAAGCAACCCTTGGTTTT